AAAGTCGATCAGTTGGAGGAGAGCCCTACCTTTATCATATATATTAATGGTGATTTTCCATCGAATGAAATGTTATGAAGATCTCTGTGCTTTTCAAATTTTTATCAAAATTGCAAGAAACCCATTTTTTACTTTACACTTTAAATGCTTGTTTAGGCATGCATGCTCTTCAGTGTGCTGAGGTTTAGTCGCTATCTTGTGTTAGCTTTAACAACTCAAGCGTAAAACTTCGATTGATCTTATGACAACTTACGCAGGATCGTAGACGGCCAGAAGTTGAGGGATTTGCAATTCTTGGACGAAGAATGCTTCTGCAAGTCGTTTCATCTACAAGAATATAAATATTTAAGAAAGAAAAGAGGGAGGGACAAGTGGTATGACTCATTACAACAGGCAGAATCAGATAGTTAAACACCGCACCCTGATCTGATGGGACTTGCGCTGAATGTGCCTGAAGACGTTGGGTGTGGAGTGGATAAACTCGCAGAGTTGGCGAAAAGTTCTGCTGTTCTCTGCGGCCAATTCGCCAACGTCTTTGGCTACCTGTTTTGCCATCTCTGTCTCCGTTTTGAGTTGCTGATATGGTGAAAACAAAAAGGGTCGACATTTAGCTCACACCGATTAGCTGTTTTTGAGAAAGTGCACAATTGACCTTTTGGAAAATTTTGACGAAACCATTGAAATGACACATCAGAATGACACTTTGGATGCAATGTTAAAGCGAATTACTAGCACAGACAAAAACCAACTTATTTTATCCCCTAATTTCCTCTAAATACAAGGAAATGCATTTTGGAATGCGTTGTAATTCTTTACACAGACGGATTGTTTACAGGGGCCTGATTAAGCATATTATAAGCACCAAATGTCAGCCACAGAAATCTATTATCCTTTTCGTGCAAAATGCCTCACTCACCTGAAAATTGGAAGTAATTCTATCCAAGAGGCCTCGCAAGTCCGAAACTTCTAGATTTTTGTACGAAAAAAGGGGCATTATAAGGAAGAAGATCCAGTCTAATAAAAAACTCATTTGTTCAGCTTAGTTGATCTTACTTGAAGAACAAATAAAACGGTTAACTTTCGGCTTTCAATCTAACATCACATGGTGTCAGATAGAGTGCTTAGTTCGCTTCCTTCCTACCGCTGTCAAATATGGTTGTAGTGGATCATGTCGCATTCTTTTTTTGTCTAAGAAGGATTGTCGTATTTTTGTTTAATTGTAGAGCAACAATTGAATTGGTCAGTTCATAGGCGTCGAAGCTAGTATCATAAAAGAACAAAAAACCACCCACACTGCGGTGGTGTCTTCTTCCGAGGCTGACTATTCACGTGTTGATCAGACTTTACCAAAAATATTTGTGAAAATAAACACACCTCAGACGATCCAAATTCACGTTTTTCAGAAAGTTCCTCAAGTCTAGATCGAGAGAGCTGCTCATGATGACGATCACACCGTATTACATATCCTAACTTCTTTACGCAAGGTTTTAGATAAAGTGCAAATATGAGAAAGTTGTGAAGTCCGGAAGGTCTTACGTTTCTCGAGCAGCTCGCAGGACTTAGGAGTGAATGACTAAAAAATTTATTTATCACGTTATCACCCAGCTCTTCTGATTTAGGCTGCTAGGAATAAAGTTCTGATTTCTGCTGACATAAATAAAGGCCATTCAGCTATTTTGCGAACCGTATTGTAAGGAAACAGGTTGCAGGACTCCAATTCCTAGGATTAAACTATTCACATCTAACATTAGGGCACGATGGATGAAGTAAAATTCACATTAAATGGGATTTGCGCTAGATACAGCATACCCACGGTATCACTAGGTATTGGGAACGATTACACAAAACGCAGGATTAGAATCCAGTCATCAAGATTCGTTCTTAAAGGTATTGACTGCTATCTCATCAATAAAATGCGATTATAACAAAATATTTACAAAATTTACTTTAAAAGTTGGTATCGGATAGTCTTTGAGGCCCTAAAAGCGACTAGTGCTGACTTCATCATGCATTTTTTTGAGAAAAAGTAAACAATTATACCATATTCCTTGCTTATGGCTAAAGGAAATATATAGTACTTGAAAGTATTTGAGCACTGCGTCAGGGAAAAGCCCGAAACTATCAAAACCTGCTCATTATTTAAACGCCAATAAGAGAGCACGAAATGGGCAATATTTTCTAGTCATCAGGGAAGTTTAATACGTCATCAGGAGAAGCTAGCACAACGTCACGGCACAAAATCCCAATTCTCTACATCGACACAGTTCGCTAGCTCTTGCAACGATTCACGCAAAAGCTCGGTAGTGCATTTAACAGTAAGCATAACACTTACCTACAGCAAAAGCACACAATGACATAAGGAATTCATTTAAAATATATCAAAATCCCAAAAACACGTAATAAGTCAGTAGAATAGAAACGTTGTGTGGATAGTCAGAAATTTTCTGGCAGAAAGGCGAATAACCACAAGGAATTCAACAAAGTCAGCAGTGCATGCAACTTTTGTGTAAGCACAACACATAACGCACCAGAACTAGGCCGAAATTGATTCTCAAGAAAGATGGCAATTTCGTGCCAAAAGATAAGCATCCGTTCACGAGAGGAGAGGAGAGCCTGACACAGATGACGATGCGTTGCTACTGCGAAGTGGCACTTATTCTCAGTCTGGAGTAAAGTAATAAGGAGGAGAGCAGTTAGCGCATGAGAAAGGTGGGAGGCACTGAGAGACGCCGATAATCAACGAGCAGCATTCTTATGCATAAATTATAGATCAGCAGTGATCTTGTGATTGCGTACCCCAGACAGTGAGCATTTAATGTATATGCCCTGGAGTTAAACACAATGAAGGTTGCAGTCTAGTCTCACGATAAATAACAAACAAAATAACTGGAAGAATTTAAGAAACTTACTGTTGGAGAGCTCCCGAGGATCAAATCCCTCCAGTTCTGCTTAGCATGACTTTCATACGCAATCAGGGAATGAAGGTTATTTGAGAGGGGCGGTGATCTGTTGAAGGAAAACGGATATTAAATGCCTTGAGAAAAGAAACAGCCGGCATAAAGCTAAAAGATGACAACACGTGCCTATATAATCCAGGTAGGATGTTAGTGAGATAGCTCTGAATGACAAATTCAACGGCGCAAAGATAGGAAAAGTCGAATATTATATTGAATTGGTGGCAGAGACCACGGGTTGGGGACATCTGAATTCGTTTCTGGCGCGAAGTGAGCAGTTGTAGTTTGTCATTACTGATGTTGCTAGAAAAAAAATAATAGCCAATTCAAACCATACCAATGTTTCCATCAAAACTAAAATATAGCTTTAAAAAGGTTCTCAGCCTTGAAGTTGAGTAACTAAAGTTCCATTTTAAAAGAAACGAGCCTCCCTTCTCTGTTATGACGAGTTTGTAAATTTACCTCTCAGTCTCTTCGGCAAACCACAATCCCACACAAAATAGGAGTTCTGTTTGCCTGAGAACATCTTCTAATTGGGATATATCAACGTTAACTTGAATATGTAGTTCAAATGCCTCATTTAAGCCGACTGACTCTTTATGGTACATGATAGGGACCGTGGGACTGCAACCTTTGGGGGGCGAGGGCTGGGTAGAACTTTGGTCATAAGATATGCTGGCTGTTGAATTTTCACCGAATATAATGGGCGGATAGATGGCTATAGAGGATTGGCCGAAAGTATTTACAGGTGAAAAAGAGTTGCCCGATTTCAGATAGAACCTCACTTGGTAATACCTAAGACAATGAAGAAAAAATGCATCTACCCTCTTTGAAAGAGATCTATATTATGAAATGATCCTATTCGAACAAAGAATGATATATCGGCTCTGACAGAGGGCATCCTAGAAATGATGGACAACTGGGTTAAATAAATGCCAAAGCCCTATTCAGCTAGTAATTGGATATCCCCGTGCTTTCAAAAATGCGCCTTTACATAGGTGTGAGTCATTAAGTTAATTTTGCTTCGTGGAACCGTTAAGATGTGAAGTGTTTAAAAGACCTGATTATGGACTTTTTGCCTTTTAACTAAATAAAGCTGCTGTTGTAAACTTTAAATTTTGCTAGTAGATGAACTTTTAATAATAAATTTACAGATACAAAATCAATTTAGTCGCAACACTGGGGATATAGTTGTGAAGGCAAATCTGCTGGCTGATAAAATTTATATTTTACTTGTAATTTTTTAATAATCTGAACTTGTTGATTGGTTGGTTGTTTGCACAGAAATTTTCCTTTGATAGTTTTGTTTCGTTTTTAGCAGACACCTTCTTGATGGTTAGTTCGAAATGTTAAGGAACTTTGAGCACTGACTGACGACTCTCTACAATAGACTACACCAAAACCCGTATATTAGTGTATTCGTAACTTAATGACTTAATTGCACGAACGTGGCGCATCATACATGAGTACAAATTCCGATACTGCTTATCGCTATGACCATATTTACGTGACACTCAAGATCTAGAACAAACCAACTAGTGCATAGAGATGCGGTGACACAACCAGTTTGCCAGCAAAACTTATCCCTATTAAACGTCACACTGCCGCAGCCCTCCAAGAGTGACCATTCAGTTCTGTCCTCATACTGGGACCTACACTAACTCTAACAAAATTTACGTTAAACCAATTGCCTTAGTGGAACACTGTCAGGTACAAAGCAGAACGCAGCACAATAAAAGACACACCTATATTTTAAAACAATTGTACAACTACCTGCTCCTCCTCTTCCTCCCCCCATTCATCTAAAACGGCCATCTTTAGCTTCTTCGTCGTCCTAGTTACCCTAGGCGGTAGTACTGACTGCACAGCTACTGTCGCGTCCGATTCAATAGACTGGAACCCCAGGCCTCCTTTTCCTTCCTCCACTTCCGTCTCCGGCTTCGCACGCTCTGCCAGTAAACTCGACACTTCAATCACACCGTAGGGATCCCTTGCGGCTGGTTTAACCTCTCCTTCCGACTCTGACGAACTGTCCACGTCCATAGCGTGGGAACTATCCGAGTCCTCTCTAGCCTCATCTTCCTCCTCCCCAGCCACTTCGCCATCTTCAACGTTTTTAAGCCCCTCGGGCGCATTAGCACCGCCCGGGAGAAAGGAGGTAGAGCTCAGGACGAGGGGCACGTCCAGCAGAAACTGATTGGCCTTCTCAAGGTCACTCGTTCGAGCAGCCGCAGTGGCTGTCACGGCAGCGTGTTGACGTTCAAGGCCTTCGAGGACCCGTTGAACGAGAGCTACGAGGGATTTGGCACGAGTGTTGGCCAACATAATGCACCTGAATGAATAGGAAGGGTGTAAGGTTATCACTTGGGAAATTTACACCATGCCAGAAAAGATGGTTATTGCAGGTTTATTATAGGGGGTGTTCAAACCAGGACAAAACTTCTAGTTTTGTACGTTTGAAACACGAAAAGGTATGCCACCGTGCCAGTACTACCGAAGTAGGTGGTGACAAGTGTGTTCCATCGTTAATAGCCGGCCTGAATAACACGGACAAATCCCGTTCGAATACTACTAAGCGAAACTACAGGAAACAGTGGTAGTAGTGCGCACATTCAACAGTGTGTGTCGATGAACGAATTTTCGCGCTAACTAAGGCATCCACTTCGAACTCGTAGATACCGACTTGTGCCCAAGGAAAACTTCAAGCACGGCGACGGGACACAGCCGCTCAAAGACCGTCAGTCAGCAATGGTTCCGGTCGTGATAGTTTTCTCTGTAGTGGACACAATCTGCTGTGTGATGAAATCGCACAAGAAATGAATGACTCCGAGAGAAACAAACGTACCTCGAAAGGTTATCACACGCTGTGCAACTTGATGACTGGGTGAAGAAGACTGGCCTGACATGGATCATCCGTACTGACAAATCTTCAGAAAAGCTGCTTGTTAGGTATTAGTTAAACTCTAAAATAGGTCTATAAGGGGATCGTCAAAAAATATGTATAATTTTCACGACTTTAAATCTATTTCTTTATTTTTTTATAGTACCAGGTGTGCAGGGCTCCCAACTCACCTAGTGAATACTTCTGATATTGGCATTGAAAAAGTGGTGATAAATTCTTGAAAGTGCACGATATGCCTTCACTTCTTCCGACACCTTGGGTTCATCATATCAAAACGACCCAGAAAAGATCGACCAGCACTCAAATTGTTAACAATCGGGGAATTTCAAGTCAAGGTCATAGTCGACGTAAATCGTAGAAAAGTGAGGGACACTGAAGATGGCTGTTCACGCGTTTTAGTCGGAATCTGCTCCTACTTATACAATTCACATGACCCAAGATTGGGTGGACGAAAGTTCTATTCATACTAATACCCTAGCCCTAGATGCCGAATTAAGGGCATCGATGCGTGAGTTACCAGAAAACGTCACAATGCAATGGATTCTCTAGTGTCTTAAGATACGAAGGACAGGACTATAGATATGTTCAATGATAATCTACAATACAATATTATGTCTTTAATAAACAGTATTCAGGCTGAGAGCGCAACAATAAAGTTGTTTTCACGAATGTTGGTGCGAAGAAATGAGGACTTAGTAAGTCTCGCTTTTACGATGACTTTCCTTTTTTATTGGATGATACAAACCATGGGACATTGGTGGACCACTTCAAAAAAAGACTGATCTATCAGTTAACTAGACTCTACGTGGTTTCCGACAAAGCTGATAGCAATAACCTTTAGCTTGTAAAATTTGAATCAAATTTTACATCTGCTCAAAAGCTGCTGAGACACCTCTAAAGATTGGTTTTCATGTAATTTAGAGAAGGTGCGGTAGGTAGTGACAGAACACTACATCCACAAATGTCTCCAACAACTTCATCCAC